TGGTTGTATGTCTTCGCCAACACTATCGCACACTTTCTTGCGACTTTCTAGTGCATCAGTTTTTAAGAATCTACAGTACATGGAATTGGCCTGAACTGGTTTTCCTATATTACATAGAAAAGAAAAATGAAGCATTTCCAGTTTGGGATTGGGAGAGAGATTTTAAGCACCATCGTCATAAAATGCCGATAATTAGTCCAGCATATCCTTGCAATAGTGTTATCTCCTGAGTAACTCTTAATACATTTAGATTTTTGTACAAGAAATTGAGATGGGGACATGATGAATGTGAGGTAATATGTTTACATATTACATATTAAGGTAATATGTAAATGAGAAGGGGAAGCATGTTCAGATGTTTTTTTGGTACTACTATTACTATTATGGTTGTACGTCTTCGCCAACACTATCGCACACTTTCTTGCGACTTTCTAGTGCATCAGTTTTTAGAATCTACAGTACATGGAATTGGCCTGAACCGGTTTTCCTGTATTATATAGAAAAGAAAAAATGAAGCATTTCCAGTTTGAGATTGGGAGAGAGATTTTAAGCACCATCATCATAAAATACCGATAATTAGTCCACCATATCCTTGCAATAGTGTTATCTTCTGAGTAACTCCAAATACATTTAGATTTTTGTACAAGAAATTGAGATGGGGACATGATAAATGTAAGGTAATATGTTTACATAATAATAAATATATTATTTGTGAGTCCACTTAACATATTTGCTTGTTTTGTTTGTATGTGTAAAATTTTTGTTTATATATGTGTAAAATTAGCAGCACACTCGGCTAGAAAATGCTAGTTGGGAGGATTTATTTAAATTCGTATCAATATTTGAATTGTGCAGAAATTCATAAAAATCAAGTTTCTTATGCTTGCTCCTATTGCTGATGACACCTATTGATGAACAATTGTGCTTGTCGTCGTGTAATATTGAAGAGCGCTTGAAGTCATGCAAAGGAATATGTCTATCTAACCTGAAGCATTTGATTGACGCGATAAGTTGTGCTACATTGCTAATTTATGTTGCTATGAAAAAAATGTTTTAGAAAAATAGATGGTAGTCCGCAATGTTTGAGGAAACATACTTTGAGCAATATAACTCAAAGTTGCGGACATCCGGGGGACATACATGAGCCACACAATAATCTGAGCCCACATAGTTATCTAATTTGAGCCCACACAATAATCTGAGTCCAGAAAGGGTTACCGGATTAGAATGCCAAAATATTTTTATCCTTTTACTTTCTCTTCCTAACCACTAGCCTTTTAACGTGGAATTTTTTTTTTTGAAATATTCATTTTTGATAAAAAAAATAATGATAATAGCAACACCAATTCTACCAAAAAGTTTTAAAAAAGTAACATTATAGTTTAAGAGAAAGATATAGAACATTCAACCCTAAAATACTACTTAATTTGTATATATCTGGCCCAAATTTGACATTAGATTTGACTAAGAGTGCAAAATCCAAACACTAAGGATAATTTTTGGTATCATTAATTATTTTATGTATTCTTATTGCTGTCTTCATATGTAAATATGTATTTGATATGTTAATATATATATATATATATTGATTGTAGTACTTGAGGATATTATAGATATTATCAGTTTTTTATTTCCATTTTTAGATACTAATAATTGCTACCATTGTAATTAATTTTCAATTTATATTTTCATTATGATAGGTAAAGTTAAATATATTGAGTCGCAGGGATATGAATTTAGAGGTTAGGTAAAGGGGGAGGAGGGAGGGAAGAAAACGGTGAGGGGTTGAAAAATAGTAGGAAATGTTGAAGAAGAAATATGGGTTATAAGGATGGGCGGAGAAGGGAGGAAGAAAAAAGGGGATTGCAGGGATATGACATAGATGACAAAAAAATAATAATAATAGAGAGAGTGGTACCATGATAGAAGATATGAAAGTGATAGGAGGCTTCTAATAACTAGCTGGCGTATAAGAGAATAGGGAAATGATGGTGATTTTTAATAATTTTGAGAGTCAAAGTTTTTGATTCAAGACAGAATCAAAGACACGTGCGTCCCCGATGATGCTCCCCACGGAAAGCTTAAGAGGAGAAAGAGGATCGACAGTTGACAAATCATAATGGACAATCTGCTCCATGCCATCCCAAAAACAGACAAGTTTTTGAAAGACCTATCAAAACTCACCTAATTCAGGGCAGATTTACAATGGTGCATCAGATTCACTCTGCAACAAAGACTGTGAGGATATCGGTTTTGTTCCAAGGCTTTGTGAAACATTCTTGGATGTTTTACTTGGTACCTAGAAGAGAACCAAATTCGTAAGACCAATAGTCAAATATCAATCCAATCCAACAAAATAAGCTAAAAAACAAAGTGATTTCCCTACGTTGATGATGTTGGTTAACATGACAACCTACGCATCAGAAATAAGGAAAGAACAGAGAAGAAAAGAAATTGTTGTGTTGAAAGCTTGAAGCATACGCTATTGAAGAAGATTACTTAATTCTCAGAAAGTGGAGAAATGGTCCCATATTTAATTGAACCGATAGAAAGAGAGGGAAGTTTCAGAATTGTTTCAAGAAAAAGAGAATTTAGATGCTTTCGACTACACTAAAATTGATCAGATGGGTTTCTCCAACACGTAAAACTCCAGACGAAGCGAAAATCTCAAATTTCTTTATCCATGTTTTATCACTCACTCCCTGGAACAAATTTTTTTTTTCTTTTCTCTGTTTGCAGTTACGTATTTAAGAAATTGTTATGACATTTATCTAGGCCAGGAAACGAAGTCTTAGCAGTTCTAAAATACCCCATAAAAACTACAATCTATACGTGCAATTCCAATTTCCCAGTGCAAATTTCCCCAAAAAAAAAAAAACCACTACCATGCTAAGTGATCAAAAGAGGTGTATATTAACATGTCTAACCTGAACGTTGAAATTAGCAAAGTAGCACCTAAACTGATCACACTTGGTTGACATCTGCTTCTGTAATGTTAGGCCTCTGTTTGTTGTTGGCTTGTGGTTTCTCATCCCCGCAGGGTTAGGGAGACAGAGAACCGCAGGGATGGGGATCAGGAACTCTCGAAAGTGCATTTAACCAAATCCTAACCAGTTTACGAGAGCTTTTTAACAAATTCTATTGGGTAATCCTACGAGTTTTTATTTTCATTACTAAACTCTCTTGCTCGCCAATTCGGATTACACGTCGGGTGTCCCTCTACCCACTTAAACATGAGCAGAGCCATAGAACTTGCATGAGATATGAAAAGTTAGATCAATGTTCTTCTACTTTTAATCCCAACTACCTTCATTCCAGGCTTTTATTTAAATTATATCTCCCACTATTTCCAATTTCAGCATATATCCAAAAGAAATTCAAACAATTGTTCCCCTCCACCCCACCCTCAACCCCCCCTCCCCACACACGTATATATATAAAGTAGTTTTGGATTTTTATGATCTTCTTATTAAATCCTATTGAATTATCCATCAGCAATCAATATCAAACTCCAACGGATAACCCATTGGTTGTCTGTTATTTGACATGCAAGATGATGGCGCTCTAGGGATTCGAATGAAGTCCATCTATTGCCTGTGCCAAAAAGGGATGTCCAGAGAACCCACGATAATATATGTTGGTGGAATTATAGTTGCTTTCATGAGAAATTATTTGGAAGGCAATCCCCGGGACTTGCTGGCTAATGCCATCCGGGATGGAAATCTAAGAGTACTTGCAACTCCAAGATGTTGATATCTAGGATATTGGCTTAATTTCTGTTAGGTAGGATTCTTGTTTTGCGTGGAAGTAACTAGTTTCCTAATTGGTTTTAGTTACTTGAAATAGTAGCCAAGAAATTTCCTATTTTGTTTAGAATTAGAAGTTATTTCATATTCCATACAAGTCTAGGAATTAAAATTGGATTCCTGTTGTTATTTGGGTTTTTGACTAAATAATATTCTCTATAAATAGATGGGTTGGCATATTGCACAAGAGACACACAAAAGGCACACAAGAGCAATATGTAGTCTTATACATGGGGTGGTGAGAGAGGGTTCTAGGGAGATGAGAGATGGTATAAAAGGGTTGAATTTGGGTTTAAGTTGTATTCTTGTATAGGATTTTCTTCTCATAATAAAAAACAGGTTTCTCTCCGTGGATGTAGGCTCAATGGTGGAGTCAAATCACGTTAAATATTGTGTGTCAGTCTATCTTTCATGCTTGTGGCTTATTTTTCATTAAATTGTTGTGCACTTGATATCTCAATAGTTATTTGTTCCGCGCTTGAATCCTAACAATATCCTTGTATAGTGAGTGATTCAAACAATTGTTCCAACAAAAATAATGAAAAAAAAGAAGTTGAGGGAAATACTTCAACAAAGTGCAGAAAGTGGATTTTTTTTCCTAGACATAGATTTTGCAAGCCACTTGCACAACCTTTTTTAAAATTTTAAGAAATCACACATTTTTTTTCTTCAAAGTTTCTTTTCACTTTCATACAATTGTCTCGTACAATTGATAAAGCTTATTTCGTAGTTTCATAGCATCTTTTGGTGATGATTTCACTTATTACATTGGAAAATGTGTGAAAAGGGCACACTAGAATGAATAATTAACAAACACAGTGCAATTTTGTAAATTTGAGAATATATTTATATCGGCTTCTCTGCTATTTATTTTTTGTGTACATCTAATCATAATTATGAAATTTGACCCGATCTGACGGTCGAACCGGTCAAACCGATAGACTAGACATAAAATTGGACTGATTCTGTAATTGGATCGGAGTTGCAGCTTGCTCATTCGAAATGGGTTGACTAGAGCGGTTGAACCGTTAACTCGCCAGACCTAGCTAGTATTTATTAAACCGGTGGGTTTTTGTAATATTTACAGAATGACCATTTTATCCAATTTGTTTAATTTTCACCATCACATCATCTGAGAATTACAATTTACAATTATGGAATTGGGAATTTGAGAATTAAGGGTTTCTGATTTCTCTTTCTCTTAAATCTCTTCTGACTTCTCTCTTTTCACTTCTTAGTTCTCACCTTCTCTCTCAAATCTCCAGCGACTGACAGAGATGGACAACATACGAAGAAATGAAGAAGCAAATCAGACAACAATTTTGCTATGTTTGCTGAAACGAAGCCTTGACCTGCTGATTGCTGAAGCTTTTCCAATTTTCTGCTTCTCCCCCAAGCCCTGAGCTCCGTTGATTCTCTGCTTCTCCCCCAATTGCTGAAGCTTTTCCAATTTGCTGAAACGATAGACCTTTATTTCTCTGCTTCTCCCCCAAGCCCTGAGCTCCGTTGATTCTGTAAATTCTAGATTCTGCAGCAGCTATCGGTGAAGCCTTGAAGGTAATTAATCCATATTGCATGTAGATTTTTTAGCTTTAATTAATGGTACACTGAAGCTACTTGCCTCTCAAATTCTAGATTTTTGTCTCTCCTATAGCACTGCCTCAGACTCCTTTTACTTCTTGTAGAGAGCTGAATTTGCCTCTTGAAGCTTATTCCACACCTTTTTGGCCTAAGAATCATCAGAACAACCCAAAACTGCTAATATTCCACACATGATTTTTAGTGATCTATTGCAGTCATTTTTCCCCTGTTTCTGTTTATTTGTTGAATTTTAGTGGAAAGATAAGTTTATAACCAAGATTAGCTGAAAATTAAAAATTGAATTGGCACTACAGATAGATGGATATATGCAGGGGATAGAGTCTGAGGATGGATAATGTCAAGAAATTGGATAAAAATACAAAAAGTAGTGTTAAAAAAAACAGAAAGAAAGATGAAAAAGAAGAGATTTAGGGAGGTGTAAAATGAAACGAGCAGAGAAAGTTTATGAAGTGAGAATGGTAGAGAGGGCAGGGTGAGTTTAAAAGAAAGAATTTGCCTAAGACTCCTTTTTGGCTTCAGTAACATCAACCTCCCTTTGATTCTATAAATCTTTACTTGGTATTTGATCATCTATGTTTGTTGGCATTTTGTTCTATAGATGTATGTATTTCATGCATCTACGTTGGCTGGCTAACTTATTGCTTGAGTTGTTGTTTGGAATTTAGAAACTTAGAAAAAGTCTTTAATTGTTGTTTGGCTGGAGCTATGATGCACTGACTCGATATTTAGTAAGCATAGACTAAAAAATGCATTTTAACGGCCACACTTTTCAAAGTTACCTACATGGTTGATAAGCAACTAAGCCTACCACAATAAAACCTCAATTCAATTATACGAATCTAGAAAAGGACTTGACAGAAAATCCAATAGCTTTGTTTTGGTGTTTAAGTGAAACAACATAGGCATTTTTACAATGATGGACAAATTATGTAATGTTTGAACTATGATATTTTGGCATGAGATAAGATATGTAAATGGATCAATTTAAGCTGCCTATTCTTCACAGTTAAACAAAAAAGAATCCCATATGCAACTTAATAATCTACATGCGAGCTAGTAGATACAATTTACCAATATATGCTACAAACAGAATGCTAATTGTTAATTGTTTTTACTTTTTAGGTATTTGTAATGGACTCCATTGGAGAAACACCATCAGACACAGCCGCAACATTGAGTTCAACACCAACACTGAGTACTTCAAATTCACAAACTCAATCCTTAACAAGGGGGAAGACAGATCTTGCTTGGTCGCATTGTAGAGAGGATTCTGTGTCAAACAAAAAAGTTAAGTGCTTGATATGTATTCACTGTGGAAAAAAAATTCAAGGTGATGGTATCCATTAATTCAAACAACATCTTGCGGGTGTAAAAGGGGAGACAACACCTTGTCCGAAGGTTGAGGCACATATTAGATGTGAAATGCTGGAAAATTTGAAAGCTCTAGAAACTAAGAAAAGAAGCTTACAAGCACGCTTAAGGGGAAGTGACTTATATGGCCAAAATATGAGAATACATGAAGAGCAAGTATACATGCAAGATAAAGATGATATTCAGGAGATTTAGCTGCCTCCCACTGCTGAAGTTTCAAAGGAAAAAAATGTGGTTCAACAACATAAAAAGGGAAAAACAATAGGGACTTTTTTCACGCCTAGAACAACCATCCATCAAAAGCGTCCTACAAAGCAAAGAGGCTAAAGGAAAGGTTGACTTGGCAGTTGCAAAGTGGATAATTGATGCTTGCATCTCTTTCAATGCAGTGAAATTTACATATTACCAACCAATGTTTGATGCTACTTGTTCTTTTGGAGTTTGTTACAAACCTCCAAATTTCTATGATATGCTGGGCTATTTATAGACAAAAAATGTTAAACAAATCAATAATTTTGTTAACAATTTTCGTACAACTTGGAAAGAAACTGGATGCACTATCATGGCTGATGGATGGATTGACTCGCAAAGAAGAACCCTTAGCAACTTTCTAGCTTATTTCACAAGAGGAATTGTATTTCTGAAATCAGTTGATGCCTCTAATACTTCAAAAACTGTAGAGATGTTTCGTAAATTATTTAGAGAAATGGTTTTGTATGTGGGGGGTGGAAAATGTGGTTCACTTGATGACCAACAATGCTGCAAATTATGCTGCTGCTGGACACTTTATTGGTCTCCATGCGCTGCCCATTGCTTAAACTTAATGTTGCATCATATAGGCAAGTTAGATGAGGTGAGTAAAGTTGTTGGCATGCTTTTTCTAAAATAACCAAATATATATATATATAATTATTGTTATCCATTGCATTTGATGAGAAAATACACTGGGTGAAAAGAAATTATTCGGCCTGCTCCTAGACGTTTTGCTACTAATTTCATTGCACTGCAAAGTATTTTAGTGTAAAAAGATGCTCTAGGGGCTATGGTAACTTCAAAAGAATAGACTCTTTCAGAATATGCTAAGGATAGTAAAGCAAAAAAAATTTGTGGATCTTATGCTAGATTCAATGTTCTGGAAAGAATGTGCTACAATAGTTCAATTAACAGAGCCACTTGTTCGGATTTTAAGGATTGTTGATAGTGACAAAAGCGCTGCAATGGGGTACTTGTATGCTGCTATGCATAGAGCTAGGCAAGAGCTATTGACAAGATTTGCAAGAAAAAATAAAATAGTTGACCCTTACTTGAGAATAATCGACTCCGGATGGGATAGTTAGCTTCACAAAAATCTCCATGCTACTGGTTTTTGGTTCAATCCTTGTTATCAATATAATTCTATTGAATTGGAAAAGCATAGGCATACGACATCAGGACTTTTGGATGTGCTTGAGAGGTATTCTTATGGAAATCCTGATCTGATGAGTAATCTGACAAAAGAAATGAAATTATTTCGTAAAACTGAAAGTGATTTTTGTAGAGTATCTGCTATAGAGATCGTGATGTCATGCTTCCAGGTACAAAGAAATTTTATTTTATAATACTATAATATGTTTTTTCCTATTATACTATAATGCTATAATCTGAATTTTTGTTTATTTATTTTAATAGATGAATGGTGGACAAGTTATGGTAGTAGTGCACCTAATTTGCAAAACTTAGCTATAAGTGTTCTAAGTCGAACTTGTAGTGTTTCTGGTTGTGAAAGGAATTGGAGTTTGTTAAAGCATATCCACTCAAAGAAGAGAAATAGATGGGAGCGTCAAAGACAAAATGATTTGGTTTATGTGCACTAAAATTTAAGATTACAACAAAGGTAAACTAGTTTTTGCAATCAGATTTTTGTTTTAGTATGATGACATTTGTTGTTTAACTACTTTTAGCATTTTGTATATAGAAATGCAAGGGGAAGAAATTATGATCCTATTGATTCTGAGGACTTCAACACCAATGAAACTTGGATTTTGGATGATGAATCTTCATAGTTGACAGCAGCTGAATTAGAAATTTTTAGGAATGAAATAGCTGCATTTACTATCAACCAGCCAAGTGTGAGCTATACTATTATAGAATGTAGAATTTCTATATTCATCCATTTCATTTTTGAGTGTATGGTTCATTGGTTTGTGCTACTTATATAGATGAAACTCTAAATTTGGATGAACTGGATACTGAAGAAGAAGATGAGACTCATGATGAAGAGAATGATGGAAGAAATGATCCTAATGAAGGCTGTGGTGTGTCAAATTTTGGTGATGCTGAAGAATTTGGTGGTATTGAATTCGACAGTAGTTGGGAACCATGGACATGAAGTGATGAACAATGAATGACCTATTGAAGTGATAAGCTGCATTGTTGTTGTTTATGTTTATCAGTTTATGTTTGGTGGTACTAATTTGCTGAATTGATTGTTCATCATGGCCATGTTTGAACTTTGAATGTTTGTATCTTTTAGACAACATTTGTATGTTGAAAAGTTTGAAGTATGAACTATCATATGAGAATGCTTGAGGTTTGAACTTTGAATTTGAAATTTAAACTTTGAAACTTTGATTGCTTAGCTATCCAGAATCTCCACATTGTGTGCGAGTTTCAATATTTATTATAAATTGTAATTTATAATTTTATATATTTATTTAATTATATTATTATTAGATATTTTTTATTATATACTTTGACTCGGTGGTTCAACTAATGACCCGATAGTTGAACCATTGACCCATCGATCCGGTCCTCTTGCCGGTTGGTTTTAATAACTATGCATCTAATCATACACGTTGTCAAAAAGTTTGTATAAATACCCTTGATATAATTGCATATTTTCTTTACATTTTTTTCCCCTTGGACAAAGCCACACGTTACATTTGATAGTCTTGCAGACCCGTTGCCGTTTTAGTGAGGAGTCAAAAGAGGGCAGAAGAGGGCAAAATTGCACTGTTCATTAATGGACAATCTTAGCAGTTAACACTGCCTTTTCATTAATCTTGGCTCTTGGGTAGAAAGACCTATGAGTCTGTGACCTTATATACCTCTTACCAAGTCTTACACCTAAAATTTCTTTACTCATTTGGCGAAGTGCTTACCTCGCCATGCTAATGCGAATTATCTGCTCCAAAATCTTCCCAGGAGTGGAAAGTCTGTTTCTTTGACCACCAGTGACAAAGTAGCTTACGGTATGCTGAAACACTCAAACTACGTCCGACCCTCTACATCATCTTTACTTGCGTGTGGTATATACCGTATATCCACAACCATCAGCACTCTCAGAGAGTCTATTTGGAATTTGCAAGCGAGTTTTCAAGAAACCAAAAAACTGTTGACTCAGGACTTTGCTTTACAAGACTGCGCCCTTTTGCATCCTATGAACATAAACAAGGTTCATTAAAAAAAAAAAAAGAATTGAGTTACTGGGAATTGGCAAGTGAGTTTTCAAGAAACCAAAAATTGTTGACTCATGGACTTTGCATTACAAGAATGTCCCTTTCCACTTCTATGGACTTATAAAAGGTTACGAGCAAATTGAGTTACTGGGAACCGACTTAGTCAAAGCTTGAACTCAAATTGACTTAGCAAGTTCGTCTGAGTCCGGCTTTGAGTATAGGGATGCTTTGTCCGTTGGCTTGTCGAATACCATATGTTAAATTAACAGTGAAATTACATGTAGGTTTTTCGTGCCATTATTATTTTCTGTATAAAAAAAGAATTATTTTATTTCTTTGATCTCGATTAGATTCGAACTCAAGTTCGAACTATACATTGAGAGTCCCATCGAATTCGAGCCTGATACGGCGCATTTGTAGCCCTAGTAGGTATATGAACGTTCTAACAACCTAGTATGGCTTTTTAATATTCCTCGATCTTTTGATAGCATTTCTGAGGAGTGAAGCCAACTCAAACCAAAAGTCAATCATGGGCATCAATCAAATGGTCCCGATCTTATCCTAAGTGCTGACACTTCAAATGATCCCCCCGGAAGAAGCATAACATTTGCCACTTGATTCTTCTCAACGAGTAAACATATAAATGGACCGTAAGAAAGCTACAGTTCCCGAGGTCATTTCCAACTAGTATAAAGCGGTTTTGTGCATTTTGCACACCGCATAACTTTGTTTGCACACGGCGTAATTTTATTTGCACGACGTGTAACTTTAGAACAAAATTTTATGGATCTCACACACGTTATTAAAAATGAGATACAAGAAGTGATTTGGAGCGTACAAACTTTTTTGGCCAAATCTTTGCCGTGAACAGCTCAGGAGCGGTCCATTTGATGACCGCTCTTGCCCCTCATCCAAATAAATTCTTGTTGGTGCTTAGAATCTTCACTAGTTTACAGCGGAAGGTACCAATTGTTATGACTCAAAAAACTTAGAAGATGTAAGGACGTTACATATGTAAACAAATTGTGTCAGAGATCGATGAGAAAGTTGGGGTTTTAGTTAATGTAGATGTCGGTAATAGGTAAACAACAACATATACGGTATGCGAAAGGGAGAGAGTTGGCCAACTTCCACTCGATTGGTAAGACATGAAAATCTGTACACATTCCTGACATGCAAAACTGATGTGGGAAATCTATCCTGGTTTAATGTTTATATTCCTAAGACACGCTAATGGTACTTTTTTTTTGGTGTGGTTGGGTTGGCGGCGGCGGCCCCCGGGGGGGGGGGTGTGTTGTCTGAAAGCTTCTTGCTGGAAATTGCTTCGAAAACGAGTCATGGTGGTTGTGAAAGTGGCTCAAGTGTTAGCTTATTTTTAAAAGTAAAATTAGGTTAGAATGGTATTTAAATATATAGAGGTGGCAAAATGGGCGGGATGGGCGGGAATTGTTGGGGTTTGAAATGGAATCAAGTCATATGAGTTTGGACCCAACCTTACCCATATGTGTTCTGGGACTAATTTGGGGGGGATCACTTTGGAATGAGTTTAGATTGATCCCGCCCAATACCCAAATCTATTTTCTACATATTTTTTTCCTTTAATTCATTTTTTATTTTTTTATATAACTTTAATATTTTTTATTTATTAAATTTCTTTTAGTTTTATTAAATAAACATGCAAGTGCTTTATACTCAGGATTCCCACCAAAAATTGGATTAACAAATAAACGAAAAGATAGATATACAACCATATTCCAACATATATCAAGATGGCCAAGGCACTTAGGGTGTTGAATATTTATCTTCATCATTGTCCAAGGATGACAGGTCTAAACTGACTGAAAATGTTGGAAATTCTTGTGGATAATGACTAAGAAGACTGCTAGATTATATTCGCTGGTATGACTATAAAAATTGTTAAAGATAATTTTTGAATCTAAGACTCCGTTTGGATTGACTATTTTATCAAAAAACAAGTTTTTCAAATACAATATTACAGTAATATACAATAACTCAAAAAACATCCCATCCATATTAATATATCAAATATTTCAAAAAAATTTTATAGT